AGAGTAGAGTAGAGTGGAGTGGAGTGGAGTGGAGTGGAGTGGAGTGGAGTGGAGTGGAGTGGAATGGAATGGAATGGAATGGAATGGAATAGAATAGAATAGAATAGAATATAGCATGGAATGGAATGGAATGGAATAGAATAGGAATAGAATAGAATAGAATAGAATAGAATAGAATAGAATAGAATAGAATAGAATAGAATAGAATAGAATAGAATAGAATAGAAATAACAGATTGTAGAATAGAATAGAATAGAATAGAATAGAATAGAATAGAATAGAATAGAATAGAATAGAATAGAAGATAGCATGGAATGGAATGGAATGGAGTAGAGTAGAGTAGAGTAGAGTAGAGTAGAGTAGAGTAGAGTAGAATAGAATAGAATAGAACAGAACAGAACAGAACAGAACAGAACAGAACAGAACAGAATAGAATAGAATAGAAGATAGCATGGAATAGAATAGAATAGAATAGAATAGAATAGAATAGAATAGAATAGATAGGCACAAATTGGCTGGGTTTTCAGAGTGGGAAAAGGAAAAAAAACAAGCTGTAAAAACAGCCGCAAGAGGAAATGGCTAGCCAGGGAAAATTAGCTGAATGGGATAACAGGAAAGGCAGACTAAACTGAAAAACAGGAAAGAACCTATTGTTCTAAGGAGCCATAAAATATCCCCAGAACTCAAAACAACCGATTGACTGTGTCTAATATCTTATATAATTATTAATGTACGTGTGAACTAGGATTTAGTCCAGGGGTCTTCAAACTTGGCTCTTTTATGACTTGTGGACTTCAACTCCCAGAATTCCTCAGCCAGCGTGCCTGGGAGTTGAATTCTGGGAGTTGAAGTCCACAAGTCATAAAAGGGCCAAGTTTGAAGACTCCCGATTTAGTATGTTTAAGGAAGGTAGCAGGAAATATGTAGGAGGTGGTCAGAATGAGTGTGACCTCATAGTACCTCAGCCAATGGGGAACGAGGAAAGATGTGGCAGCTGGAACAGGGTTGTATAAAGAAGGGAATATTTTGGGTACTAAATCATACCTAACATGTACATTAAAATTAGGAGATAATTTATGCAAGGTGTGTCAGTCAATATTAACCAATTAATTGCACATGCTCAGTTGCCTGAGTTCTGGCCCTCTTTTTTATGACTTCTTAGAAAAATAGGTTGCTAGTTATCTTCTCTTACAGCTCCTTTTCTCATTCTGAAGACCCAGTTAATTTTTGCCTACGTATTTATCTTACATCCTGTCTTTATGCTCTCTTTTCCTGTTTCCCAAGCATCATAGTTGCTTCTCCACTCAGTAAATTTCCACTGCAGCAAATTCAGTTTTAAATTTCTCTTTCAATATTAAATTTTTGAAGACCTTTCCTTTACTTCTATCACCCAGGAAATGGGGTAATCCAACAAGCAGATCAACTGACGTCACCCTCACATTTTCAGTTCCTTGTATGAAATTCAAG